TTCTGGTCAAGGCTCCTAGGTCCTAAACCCTACACCCCCCAACCCTAAACCCTGAACACCCAACCCTAAACACCAAAACCCTAAACCAATTCCCAACCCAAAACCCGAAACCCAAATCCCAAACAACCTAAACCCTAGAACCCCAGACCCCGAACGCCTAAACCCAAATCCCAACAAGCCCAAAACCCGAAGCTCCCAATCCCAAAGACCCTGAACCCTAGACCCCAAAACCCCAAAAGCCTAAGCCCAAATCCCAAAAGCCTAAAACCGAAGCTCCCTATACCCTAAACCCTAAACCCTAAACCCGAAGCTCCCTATACTCCAAAACCCCAAAACCCAAATCCCAGAAACCCCAAACCCGTAGCTCCCTAAACCCTAAACCCTAAACCCTATACTCACCTCGCAACAATCCATCCCAGGCCCTTCTGGACCGGAACGAAGAGGCGGCCCATCGAGGCGCTAGAAGTTTGAAGGGCTTAAGGTTAGGGTTTAGGGTTTAGGGTTTAGGGTTTAGGGTTTAGGGTTTCAGGGTCTAGGATTTCTTGTTGGTTATGGTTTAGGGGTTAGGGCTGAGGGTGTCTACAGGGTTTAGGGTTTAGGGGCTAGGGCTTAGGGTGTCTACCGAGTTTAGGGTATCGTGTTATCTTGTTGTTTGCTCTGAGTTTAGGTTTACTTGGAGGTTCCTGGGTAGAACTACAGTTGTAACCCACATTAGGGGACTTATACGCTATTCAAAACTACCCATGAATCTCCATGTACAGGGTCCAGGGGGTCAGGGTTGAGGGTATCTAGGTTTACACGAGGTCATGAAAGGTAGAGTATAGTATATAGTGGGCCTTGCTGGGTGTACTTGTCGTTTCTGGCCAAGTTGCCCGGAAAGTGGGTTGGTGCCTCTTCAACCCTAAACCCTAAACCCTCAGGGTGCCTCTTCCCAGACATGTCCCAGCACTGGGATGCACTTCATAGCCTCAGGGCCTTCTGGGTCCAGGATCTCGATCTTGAACGTCGGAGTATTTGGGAAGAGTTTTGGTTTTTTGGTTACTATAAGCTGTAAGAAGCAGCTGGCCTGGACTTTTTGGGAAAGGTGCCCAGTTCAGTGCAGTGAGCTTCAAAACAAGCTCCCGTCCCAGAGCTCTTGTACATGCCTGCATGGCCTGAAAACTATAAACCCTAAACCCTACCTGGATTTTAAAAGAACCCACCCTTTTAGGGCTCCTTGTTATAGTTTCTTTATATAAGGTCCTCAAAACAGTAGGTTCTTTAGGGTTAAGGTAAACCCTAAGAATCCCTAGCAACGTTGCCTGCCCTCCAGAAAGGTGAAAGCCTGTAGGCTCTGGGTCTGTTTGCGCACGAAGATGAAAAGACAGACGGGCACATTGTCTTATAAGTCTTGCCTTATTATAGATATCGTATATTGGACCTCAAAACCCTATTTGAATTATTAAGGCCCCTACATTATACATGCACGTTTGCTGCAAGTGTAGGTTTAAGTAACATTGAGGTTTTACGGATCAGGCGTTTGGAGGTTCGGGTTGTTCCTGAGGCGTAGTGTCTGTTACAACTTCCGATACCTTATGGTACCTCTAGACCTGCAAGCTAAGGTCTTCGAGGGGAGATTCTGTCGGACTAGTTGGCTTCGGGTTCCGCGCAGTTTTTTGTGAGATTTCGGGTGCAGAGATTAAGGTTCTAGGTTCAGGCTTTGGAGATTAGGAAGAGCACCCACGGACCCGAAACTTTGAACCTTCAACCCTCAATAAACCACCCTGTTAAACACTCCCAAAACCCCTAAACCGATACCTGATTCTGTACCCCACCCTTGACTGTACAGGCACCAGTAAGACCCCTAAACCCTTTCAGCCCTGAGCCCTAAAACCGAAAACTCCATAAGCCCTAAACCCTCAACTTCATAAGCCCTCGATCAACTTCTACCCTAAACCCCTAACCCCTAAACNNTAAACCCTAAACCCTAAACCTCTGTGACTCCAGGCGAAGTGGGACGCTTCAGCCCCGCCGGCAGAAGCTCTCGAGTGGGGAGCTCAGATGCGATTTTTGGGCTTATCAGTTTAGGGGTTTAACTAGGTTGGTTTTTGGGACATTTTTTATTTTCCCTATTTGGGTTTATAAGGGGCCCTTTATATAAATATTTTTCAGAGGGTTTAAAGGCCAACCCAGTTGAGGGTTTAGGGGTTTAGAGTTCAGGGGTTTGGGGTTTATAAGTTTAGTGGTTTACGGATTTAGGGTTTAGAGTTTAGGGGTTTGGGGTTTAAGGGTCTCGGGGTTTAAGGGTTTCGGGGTTTAAGGGTTTAGGGTTCATGGGTTTAAGGGCTTTGGGTTGATACGTTTGGGGGTGCAAGGGTTTCGAGTTTATTGGGTATAGGGGCTTAAGGTTTACAAGGTTAAGGATTTAGGGTTTATTGTTCAGGGGTTTAGGGTTTGTAAGTTTAGAGGTTTAGGGTTTATAGATAGGAAGTTTAGGGGGTTAAGGGTTTAGGGGTTTAGGGGTTTAGGCGTTTAAGGGTTTTGGGTTTATAACTTCAGGGTTTAGAGTTTAGGGTTTCTAACTTTAGTGGTTTAAGGGTTTAGGGCATAGAGTTTAGGGGTATCGGGTTTACAAGTGTAGGGGTTTAGGGTATATAGGTTTAGGCAGCGTTTAGGGTTTAGGGTTTACCTGTTTAGGGTTTGGGCGTTTAGAGTTTGGGTTTCATGGTTCCTGGGAGTGTTGCTGTAATGGACCGGTATGGGTTTCTAAGACTTCCTGAAGGGCATCCAGGTTTAGGGTTTAGGGTTTAGGGTCCAGGGTTTAGGGTTTAGGGTCCAGGGTTTAGGGTTTAGGGGAGGTTTAGGGGCAAACAGTTTAGCGGTTTAGGACTTCACTTTATAGGAGATGTTAGGGCTGTTAGGATTGCTTGTTCCAATCACGATTATTCTATCTAAGACCCGAAACGCGTTAGGTCTCGGAGAATTGTGCCTTAAAGGGGGCCCTGATGTAGATAACTACCCATGTATGTTTAGGCCTTTGGGGTTTATAGGGTTTAGGTTGCAGGGTTTGGGGACTTAGGCTTCAAGCATGTGCCTGGGTCGTCTCCGTATTTCAGGCTGGGTGCACTAGTATACCTGTGGAGATGGAGTTTTAGCATTGATGGCTTGCTGAAGTCTCCAGCCAGGTATCTATATGCTACAGCGAACTGCTACGCCTTCATGTGGAAGGCGTGGTGCAGTCGTCCTTCCTCACCCCTCGTTCCTTGTGTTTTCGCTTCATGGTTGTATGCATATGCGTATACATATATCTGTGTACATACAACTTTCCTCTTTCTGCCTCTCTTACATGCGATATCTCTGTTTGCACGTTTATGTCTGCTCATCATTCACGCGGTTCAACAGCAAGGCTAATTGCTGTAGATTGATCGGTCGAGTCATTTTCAGTGCTCTGATTTACGAGTTTCAGTATGTCTGCATATGGCCTGTCTGGATGAACACATTTTTGGTTCATGCCTCGTGCTGCCAGCTTGCCATGTTCCACAACCACAGCTGCTTTCCAGGGAGCCCACTACCCGTTTCTTCCCTGCCGGTACAGGCTTTTACGAGCTAAGCAACAAGCCTTATTTAAGGAGTGTTGGGGACTGTGCCCTAAACCCCTAAACCGCAACGGGTCTGCGGGTCGGGATGTCTTGAAGTTGGGGCTATTTCAGCTCTCAGATTTCGGACGTCGAGACCTTCAACCCTGACCTACCCAACCCGAAATCTAAACACTAATTATATCTGTTGTTGGGCTTAGGGTTGAGTTGCTTTTGAGGTGAGGTGTGCAGCATGGAGATGCTTAGGCTCACAGATCCAAGATCTGAGTGTCTCAGGGTTCTTTAGATCTGGTAAACCCCTAAACCCTGCACGGTTCAGGGTTTGTGGCTAAAAACTCTAAAACCCTGAGCTGCAAGCTTAAAAACCCCGCAAACTCTTTAAAGCCCTCAGATGCTAAACCCCTACAAGGTTGCATGCTTTGGGCGTGGGGTTGTCGGCCACATTGGGACACACTGCAGTTGGACCATGTACTCAATGTACTTCTACTCATAGGCCCCATAGTAGTTCCTTTTTGGGGATTACCTAATAGGACCCTAAATATAAGCCACAAAAAGGAGCTACCATGGGGCCTATGAGTAGGCTTATTGTGTTTAGGGTTTTGCTCTGGAGGCTCTTGGGTTCTTAGGCCCCGGGGTGGACAATGACAATGACATCTCACATATGCTCTGTCTCCCTACCCATAGGCCCCGTAGTAGTTCCTTTTTTTGGGCTTCTATTTAGGATCCTATTCGGTAATCCCAAAAAAAGGAACTACTATGGGGCCTATGGCTACATCCTGTAGACTTTGGCTTTAAAGCTCCTGCGATTTGGTACTCGAAGCTCTCCGTAGATGTCTCGCAAGCCCCTCACTTCCACCTTTTCACCAAGGCCTAGACCCGACACTAAACCCTAAACCCCTAAACCCCTAAACCCCTAAACCCTGAACCCTAAGCCCTAAACCCTAAACCCTAAACTTTAACCCCTAAGCCCTAAACCCTAAACCCTAAACCCTAAGCCCGTAAAACTTAACCCCTAAACCGCCACGGCCCTGAGACCCGTAGCGCGCACCCCGAAGCCCGTATGTCTCCCAGTGGGCCTTGTTCCCCTTGTTGAAGTCTTAAGGTTCCTTATAAAGGTGCCCAACACCAAAACAGTGAGCCCTTTTATCCTAGGTTGCTGGGCATCCTCAACCCTAAACTCTAAACCCCTAAAAATTAAAAAAATTTTAAACCCCTGAACCCCTAAACCCCTAAACCCTAACCCTGAACCCCTCAACCCTAAACCCTACACCCCTAAACCCCAACACCCTAAATCCCAAAACCCTAAACCCTAAACCCCTAAACCCCAAAACCCTAAACCCTAAACCCCAAAACCCTAAATCCCAAAACCCTAACCCTAAACCCCTCAACCCTATCCCTTAAAGCCCGAATCCTCGGCTCCATCAGGTACCCTTCGTCAGGAACCGCTTGGAGTTTCAGAAGCGCGTGGTGCAGCTGAACCTGCAGGCAGCGAGCTTACGGATTTAGGGTTTAGGGGTTTAGGGTTTAGGGGTTTAGGGTTTAGGGTTTATGGGGAGGTGAGATGGGGGGCAATCTAGAAGCCTGAATAATTCCCTACATTATTCCCTAGGGCCTCTTACTATATTTATGCCATGAAGGAGCCCAAAACCTTATTCTGCTGATTAAGCCTCTTGCATTAAACCCTTATAGTATCCCTTATAGGAACCCTTAGAAGGAACCCTATTCAAACTAGTAAGGCCGCTACACCTTAAACCCTTATAGTAGCCCTTATAGAACCCTTTCAGGAACTCTTTAAAGCAACCCCCCAAAACCCTATTCTAGTGAGTAAGGCCTCTACCTTAAGAACCCAAAACCTACTTTTTTGTAGGGTCCCTATAAATCCCATATTAGGGTTTATAATAAGAACCTACAAAAAAGTGGGTTTGGGGTTCTTAAGGTACATTGACGGTTCAGGAATTCTTAGCTTCAGGAGCTCGCATCCAGGACGAGGTGAGGTCGCGAGAGCTGCCGCCGGCACGGTCTTCTCGTTTTGTAGGTCCCGAAAGCTATACTACTGCTGATGATATTAATCCTGCATCACTTTAATGCAAGATTCGTATCATCAACCGTAAAGCCGTTTTAGAAGCCTCTCTACGGAACTTTTAGGGCTTTTCGGGTTGAGGCTTCGAGGGGGATGGCAGGGTTTTGAGGTTTAGGGCTTTGGGGCTTTTCGGGTTTAGGCTTCGGGTGTTTAGGGTATAGGGCAAAGGCCCCATACCCTCAGAGATTTAGGGGTTTGGGGTTGTTGGGGTTTGGATTTTTGGGTTTAGGGTTTAGGGTTTGGGGTTTTGGGGGTTTGGGTTTAGGTTTGGCTTGACGAACTCCGCCCACATCTTGAACCGAAATATTGGTTGTTCTTCGGTGATCCCAAAATCCTAAATCCCCAAAGCCTGATCCAGAAAGCCGCATGTTGATAGACACAAAAACTTCCCGAAGCCCTCATCCCCAAACGAGACTCGTTTAAACCAACATGCTTTTGAACCAGGTGCCTGCATGGGCTCCGCCTTCCGATAAGAAGGTCGAGACCGAGGCCAAGCGGCAGGGTTCGGTTTAAAAGCTTCTTTAGGGCTTGTCCCCCTTTAATTCAACAGCAAGGGTTTCTTCAGGGTTCTTAAAAGTCTTTTTGTGTTGTATTATATGGTTAGTAAGAGTAGGGGTAGGAGTGGTGGCAGCAGCAGCAGCAGCAGCAGCAGCAGCAGCAGCAGCAGCAGCAGCAGCAGCATCAGTAGAAGCAGTGGCAGTGGTAGTGACTGGTAGTGGTAGCGGAGCTGATGCTGAAGAGACTTTGGAGGAAGACGACGGCCAACATATGGTGTTAGTTTAGCGCGAAAACGATCAGGACAGCCAGTAGACCCTAAACCCTAAACCCTAAACCCTTCTTACAGCCTGCACTCCGAGCACTGCCCCTCGTCAAACCCGAACCTATTCTCGACATCATGCAAAACGAGGAGGACGATGGGGACAAAGTGGACCCTGCTGCAATTGAGGCTTTGAAGGCTGGAATCTGGGAATTATGGTTATTATTATTATTATTAGTAGTAGTCGTAGTAGTAGTAGGAGGAGGAGGAGTAGGAGGAGGGTTCCGGTGTTTCGTGTTTCTTTCTGTTGCTGCTTCTGTTCGACATCATTGGGCACTGCTGTAGGGCATTGTGTGGTTTAAGGTTCAGGGAACGGGGTTTTAGCGTTCAGGGAACAGGGTTTAGGGTTCAGGGAACAGGGAACCAGGGTTTAGGGTTTAGGGTTCAGGGAACAGGGTTTGCGATCAAATCTCCAGGGGGTTTGTCAACATTGATCCGGTTGCCTGCATGAGTCAATCTGGAAGTCACTCTCCAAATAGTCAAGGAGCCCCGTCCCCAGAAGTACATCATGGTTTGAATGCTAAAAGAAATACAGGAGCCCTGTCTAAACCTAAACCCTAAACCCTAAACCCTAAACCCTCAACCCTCAACCCTCAACCCTCAGCCCTCAGCCCTCAACCCCAACTCAGCCCCAAAGCCCCAGACCGGTAGTTCGCAGAACTTGAGTTCAGACCTGATCATCCTAAGTCGGCCTTGACTCCACGGGCCCATGTGGGAGTTTCCGACCATTAGGGGTACCTTATTTTGGGGTCCTTAATAATAAGGATCCGAATTTTTTAGGGTACTATATTAGGGTCCCCTATTTTCGGAAACCCCCCACGTGTCCAAAGAGTACATACCTTGGCCTTACAGCAGTCCATATCTGAGCACTTTAAGCTTGAGGTCAAAGTACATATGGTAAACGCTAGACTCATTCCTGATTGGCACCATTAGACAACCCGCAGAAAGCTGTAAGCCCGAAACGCCAAACAGGCAGAATCCTAAACCCTAATTCAACCCTACACCGCATATCCAATACCAAAGAATCTTCAGGGATCATATTCCTGGGGCGCCCCAGACTATTTTCGATGGCGAAACCAGCGAGTCCACCAGTTCCCAGCACCGTAACGTCTTCGACAAGCGGTTCTATGAGGGCTCTTAGACTGTAGTGTCTGGGTTTAAGAGCTCTACAAGAGTTCTTTCATGAGGTTCTATAGCGGTTTTATTGAGGGTTCTGTACGTGGTGTGTGGGATGTAGTTGGTGACCTGAAAGTAGTCCTTACATCGCTATCTTGGGGCCAAAACATATCATTTTGGCCCTAAGCCCTAAACCCCTAAACCCTAACCCTAAAGACCTAAACCCTAAACCCTAACGCCTTAGGGATTAGTTGGGGGAGTATATTACATTTATGATCCTCCCCCTGTTGCACCCAAACAAAATGGTCCCCGGAGCCCGGCTGTCCAACCCAGCAAGGCCTCAAGAGCCCGAGCTCTGAACCGTAATGGAGGGGCCTTAAGAATTGGAATAGGGTTCCTTTAAAGAGTAAGAATAGGGTTTTGGGGGGTTGCTTTAAAGAGTTCCCTAAAGGGTTCTATAAGGGCTACTATAAGGGTTTGGGGTTTAGGGGCCTTAATAATTGGAACAGGGTTCCTTTAAACTAAAGGGTTCCTATACGGGTTATTATAAGGGTTCTATAAGGGTTTAATATAGGGGCTTATAGGGTTTTGGGGGCCCATTATACTATAATCATGATAAGG